TGCACAGAGGCTGTGAAAACGAGCAAAAACTGAGTCTGAGTCATGAGTATTGATGAAACAAGTTTGAGGCATCTACCTGGGCTCATACTGCGATTTATTTTCCATGCTCATTGCTGTACTGTGGTGTGGGAAACCTGCTGAGCAAGAGTAAAGACCTTCCAGCAAAACTGTGTTAAAACTATGCTGGAAGAGCTAAAATGAGGTCTCTCAGCGTGAGCTGTGCCAGCTGGCTGCAAGTTCAGACGCGACCCTCGAGCTGGTGGCATGCACCAACCTAGTGTGGCTCTGGCCCCACAGAAGGAGGGCTCCTTTGGCTCAAGTTAGAGGGCATAGCCCTCAATCTAGGTTCAGATCCTGTTCAGCACCTAAACCCTGCCATTTCTTAATAAAAGCCTCAGCCGGTGAAAACGTCTATGTTTCAGGATAGATGGAGCTTTCTTGGCAGGTGGGGTATGCCTGTTTCCAAGGCTTCTTTTTCTGCAAATCTCTGTCACAGCTGGTCCTCATGGGTGCTACGGGGAAAGCTGCTGCGGTGGTCTCCCGTAGCGTCCAAAGGCTGACCGCTCTGTTGGTCCCTGTCATCAGGGTAAATCTGTCGCCTATACTGATGCCCTGGTGGAGGAATGGGGGCTTCCTGGCAAGGGATCAGGGCAGGCAAATGGGTGAAAGTTTTGCTCCAGCTTGGTGGCCGGAGATCCGTTCAAACATGGACATCGGTCAACGTTTCTCAAGCGCGGAGTTACATTCTTCTGCCAGCTCAAGTGGCTCTCATATACTTGTATAAACTTGGAGCTGACTGCGGTGAGGGTCAAGGATACCCCTCCCTGGGTATTTGTCTTGAAGTGTTAGAGACCAGCCTGTTTTTAACAAATCACAATATTGCATTTTGGTTTGTATTTTTAGGAACAGTCATATTCAGTTTTCTCGCTGAATACCAGAAGCCTTTCTTACTTGTTGTCTTTGCTGGGAGGGGGGAAGAAAAAAATAGAAAGGACCAGAATTTTGTTAAAAGTCTGGATGAAACACACTTTTCACAGAAAAGGAAGTTTTTAAACTGTTGTGAACACTTTTGTATTGAGTTCTCATAAGAGACAGCAAAATTATTCATCTCCCCTGAAATCAGATTGTGCTACTCGGGACTAGGGAAAGGAGAAAACACAAGCGGGGTGTGGGAGAAGGGAATTGCTTTGCGGCATTGAGGGGAAAAAACAGGTTGGAGGTGATTTTCAGGGAAGAGTGGTGAAGCCCCCCCCCCCCCAAAAAAAAAGTTACTGTGGAAAAGCAGGACTGTGAAAGCATTGGTGGCTTTGGACTCTGGTTGTGTGTGAAGCACCTGGAGAAACTGTTCAGCCTGTCCTCTGCCATAGGTGTTCTCCTTCCCCGTGCCGCCTGCCATACCTCCCAGGTGTCACCACACCTCTCTGCTCCGCGCGCAGTGCATGCGCCAGCACATGGACCCTTTTCCTGGGGGAGAAATGTGTTGAAAATGAAGACAGCTTGCCAGGCTGCTTTTTTCATTTGGGTGCTGGATTTGTTTGTTAAACACAGTTGTCCTTCCCCTTTGCCCCAACAGACAGATGCTGTCCAGTTGCGTATCTGGGAGGGTGGTGAGGTTAAACATTCGGGGTGCTTGGTGCAGGTTACTGGTCCAGCATGGAAGCAAACTCCCTCATATTGGCTCCATCAACCTCAATAAGAGCTGCTCTGTTCTTACTATCCAGAGCGATTAATGCATCTTCTTAAAGAAAAGCTGGCACGCTGTTGCACTGAGCGCTAGGAGTTTGCACCTGGCTGTGCACTGCAGAGCTCTCTGCCAAGAGAAATACCGGTTTCCAAGTTTGTTAGCCTGCTGTTTGGAGATTTTAAATTTTTTTTGTTTGTTTTTGTTTTCTTTTTTGGAAATCCTCCCACATTAAATTAAAAAGGAGACCTTGGTAAAGGAAATCAGAAGGGATGCTTGCGATATGCTTCATTTGCCAACAGTCTCTGAACTTGTGACCCTTTAAAATAAAGTACTTGGGCTTTCCTGTGGGACGGCTCCCTTGGGGTGGAAGCAAGCGTCTTTCAGGCTTGCGTGCCTTTAGGAAGGAGCCTTTGACAGCACAGGAGAAGTTGCAGTGCAGCATTCTCAGCCGGGACTTCCAGCGAGGAAAGTTGTTCAGCTGGTTCGGGACTGCGATAAATCATGGTTCCCCTGGAGCACACTGGGACTGCGGAGAGCTGGAAATAAATGCTAGGGAACTTCAGCTTTTGTAGTGGGCCATCTTTCAGGATGATATATGACTTTGTAACAGAAAGAGATTCTTTTGCTAGGGCTGGGAGAAAACTGCTGCCTTCCATGGGGAAGGAAAACGTAAGAATTCTGTTGATGTAAATCCGTGCTGCAGGCTTGCCCTGAAAACTGTGCTTTGGCATGGGCTACCTTAGCCTGAGAAACAAACTGTGTGGTGCTAATGGAAAAAAGCCACTGAGAGCCCAAGGTGGTGGCAATTAATTTGGGTCTGAAATGGGATGATGGGTTTGGCAGGAGGGTGGGGACTGCACATCTAGTTGGCTTGTATAATAGTGACTTACCGAATGTGGCTGGAGAGGGAATCGGATGGCATGGGATGCCGTTTTCATTTCTGCCCCTTCATTGCCTCGTTGTCATGAGCAAATAATTTCGCCCGATGGATAAAATGCCTTTTCTTTAAATTGCAGTCACAGGAGCATATGTCTCTGCTTTCTTCCACTGGCCATTCCCAATCAACTTGGATTGTTTGGCCTTGTTAGCTGGTGGGGATCTGGCAGTGTTTTAGGTTCTTCTCTGTTCATCGTCAGGGCTTGGATTGCCAAGGAGTTGGGGACAGCATGAGTTCTTGTGTTTGTGTAGCAACCAGAGGCTCTCTCCTCATTACAATTGATGTCAGTCTGCATATAGGTTTGTCTGCACTAACTACGGTCTCTTCTGGAGCTGTTGCCATATTTCTGTACTCTGGGGTTTGGTAGCGCAGCTAAGGAGACCCAACCAAAAAGTCAGACCCAGCCTCCTTGGAGGCCATCTCCCATTCCTCTGCTGTGGCCAGGTAACCAGGGGGAGACAGCTTTGTTGCAGGGAAAGGGGGAAGCATGTGAGTCCCCCTCCGCTCCTGCCAGGGCTTTGCTGCTCAGAGCAGCTCTTGGCTGGGGCAGTTTGTGGTAGCTGGGATGTGCCCAGTAGCAGGCAAAGATTTCTTGCTGTTCCCATGTGCCAGAACAGTGACATTTGGCAAATGCTGCTGAGATGCAGGATAGACGAGGCAAGCGCTGCATCAGAACTAGTGCCATGCTGTATCAGAAAAACCTCTGAGTTAACCTGCTGTAATTCAGTTGCCATAGATCTGACCGTAGGTTTCTGATATTCAGGCAAAGGTCCGTGTTTCATTTGGTCTTGGCAGTAACAGTGAGATGATAGGTAAAACCCATCGGTTTCTTAGGCCTAACACACTTTGATCGGTGATGTTGCTAGTGTAGCAAGCAATGGGATGTTCCCTCCCCCCCGCCCCCCCCAAGTAACGTAAATGTTGTTGACTTAACATGAGAAGAAAAATTATTCCATCAAATCTAGTTGCTGTTGCAGACAGCGACTCAGCATTGCTCCTTGTCTGACTTACTGAGTTCTCTTGAACTGTACTACTGATTAATTCGCTCTGCGTTTTTTGGGGTTTTGTTTGTTGGTTTTTTTCAATTTAACCTATGCAGGCTTCTCATATGAGTTTTAACAGCTCTGTTCATAACCTGTTTGTTATCTCTGAAAGATCTGTTCTGCTTGGCCAACTGCTTCATCACCTGTGTTTATTTTGTTCAAATACCTGAAATGGTAGCTATATACTACAGCGTCAGCTGGGTCAGGATACTCCTGGGGTGTAATTTTTTTCCACTCAAATGATTTCCAGTCTGTTCCTCTGAGCTGTGAATGTCGAGGTATCAGTTTGTTTACCTTATTTTCATGGCTTCTGGCGGAAACTCAAGGATTTTTACAAAATTAAAAACTCTGCAAAGTTAAATCTGGGTAAGTGATCCACAAAGGGACAAACAACTGGTGTTTCTCCACCAAGGTGGAGATGGTAGGCTGGCTTGCTTGGATCTAGACCAATGTGGTCTGTCTGAGTGCTAACCATGTGTGTGAGGTCCTGCAGGCTGACAACCCCAGATTACGTTGCTGAGCTTGAGGGCTTCACCGCTCTCCCTCCTGTCTTACGCAAATTGTTAGCCTGCGGATGGTGCGGATACAACTTCTTTTAGCCTGAAGAAGAGAAGACTGAGAGGGGATCTTATAAATAGTTACAAATATCTTTAGGGTGGATGTCATGAGGACGGAGCCAGACTCTTCTTAGCAGTGCCCAGTGGCAGGACAAGGGGCAGTGGGCACAAACTGAAGCGTAAGAGGTTTCAGTTGAATATGAGGAAGAACTTCTGTACCTTGAGGGTGACAGAGCACTGGAACAGGCTGCCCAGGGGGCTGTGAAGTCTCCTTCTTTGGAGATATTCAAAACCTGCCTGGATGATGTCCTGTGTAACACGCTCTGGGTGAGCCTGCTTTAGCAGGGGGATTGGACTGGATGATCTCCGGAGGTCCCTTCCAACCCCTGCCATTCTGTGATTCTCAGCCAGGATCTGAGCTGCGACTTTGCTAGTTCCTTCACACTAACTAGGGAAACGCCAGTGACCGTCCCTTGTGTAGGCTTTAATGAAGAGCGAACGCCACCACCTCAGTGCCTGGTTGAGAGCCAGACCTATAATAAGAATAAGGCAAGGAATCATCACAGCTAATCATCTCCTTTTGGTGGATCTGCACAGTGGCTTAATTTAAATGCTGTCACCTGGCCTCCACCGATGTCCACTCCGTCTGCACATTTAAAACTGCTGCTGTGTATTGCCTTTTTCTGGTCCACACCTTTTAGGTGCGATACAGGCCACATAGGGACTGTACTTTCCTTCCAAATTCAAAACAAAACTAATTGCAGTTTGTTTCTCTCCAGCTGCCTTTTGGGGAGATATCGCTTTAGATGAAGATGATCTGAAGCTGTTTCAAATAGACAGAACTGTTGACTTAACAAAGCACTCAGATGGCAACGCAAGACACACTTCAGGTAAGGGCAGCCCCGGGGTGGCGATGCCTCCTTTCCCCTGGTTTTATCCTTAGGGAGGAAGGAGGAGTTCCCTCCCGCTCGTGATGCCTGTTCCCCCAGCCAGGGAGGAGCGTGCAGAGCTCAGTTATGTGACTGAGGGTGGGATGTAGCTCTGAGCTTTGTTAAATAAAACCCTAACCGCGTTTGATGTAGCCAGTCCTGTCTCACCTGAGGGAGAAGATTTTCAAATTTACAGCACTGGTCTCTTTCCACGAGGAGCTGTGTTTCTGCTAATTTGGAAGGAAATGTGTTTGAAATAGGGGCACTCAGTTTGGCATTAGTTTTGACTCTTACTGTCCTCCCCCCTTTTTGTGCAATGTATGATCTTCATGGAATAATGCATTTTTTCCAGCTGTCTAGCTAGGTAAGACCCACCGCAGTCTTGCATACAGGCTACCCTTGAAGAGATGTTATAATTGAAATAGGTTAATGATTGTGTTGGTTTTCTGTAAAGCCAATAGGTGGGGTAACATGTGCTAATGTCGCCCCCCTGCACAGCTCTTTCGGATGCTCAGTCTTCTGCCAGACCAGAGCTGTTTCTTGACTCAATAGCTCTGACTGGAATCCGGCTTTAACAGTCTCTGAAACACTCTGCAACTGGTTTGGAGGGCTCCCTGTGGTATTTTTGTCTTTATTCTACTTTATGCTGGCAGGAGAGAGATTGTTGGAAGTCTGAGCTCTGAGACACACCAGAAGGACTGGAGACAGAGCAGGTCAGGACAAACTTCTCTTCTCTCTCTGCTGATACATTGTTAGGTTAGCAATTAGGATGAAAGGTTGGGTAGAGACAGAAATCACAGAAATCACACATTCACCTGACCCCTGGGCATCTCAGTTCATACTGTATCGTTCATAAGGACTGGTGGCTGGTTCTGTATCCCTGTGACTGCCTAGTTTAAGTTTCAGAACATCTAAGCACCGTCTAGGTCCTGTTCTGGGGATCAGTGCTCTTCAGATTACAGATTGATCCCTGGAAATGCAATTATCCTGCATTGTTGTGTCACTTAGCCTGTTTGTGTCGTGTTTCGGGCTGTGGCACATTCTCAGGTGATAGCTGATTAGGAGTAGGTTGCCTCCAGAGCAGAAGGTAAATCAGAAAATGAGGACTAGGTAAGTGGGACAGGCAGCGTTCATCTCTTCCACATCCCTTTGTCAGCTCCTGAAGGTAGACAGGGAGACTGTTGGGGAAGCAAAGCCAGACAGTGTTTGACTGTATTAGTTTGCTATGGTGGCTTTTTTAGTGGTCGTATCTAGCACATTTCTCTCTCTCAGCACTGGTGCCAGACCCGCACCATCTGGCAAATGGGCTGAACTTTATAGCCCACATCTGCATCATCTAATGCAGGCACTGGTCTCTTACAGCCATGGCTCGTGTCATGTGGTTGGACTCATCTCTTCCTGGCACCTTTTATTGACTGAGGCCAAGCTGGTGCATCACACGATGCTTTGCATTAGGCGAGTGGTGATGCCACATCACTCGCTTGACCCTGTCCTCATCTCCTGCAGGCTTTGTTTGTCCCTATGGCTTTGAAACCCTGGAAGTGCAAGCTGATAAATGGGCAGCCCCCCGTGACCGTGACGGTGTTGCTCTCTGCGGAGCATGCACAGAGGGGGCTCTGTGTTCACCTGCCCTGCGAGGGGGCTCTCGACAGGGGCAGGAAGGGTTCATTCTTCTCTTGCAGGGCTTGCTTGACACTCATGTGAATTGTAAGAGGGTGGTCTACTTCAGCATGGTGGGGATTGGGACCCATTCTTCCCTGGGAGAAAGTCCTGTGCTCTGCTTTTTTATTTGCAGTGGGAAGAATGCAACCTCTGTACAGAAACAGCCTAAGACCTTTTATGAATGGGACCCCTTGAATTATAACATTTCAGAGTTTCCTAAAGCTGTTAATCGGATTAGTTGTATAGTGGAGGAAGTACTTAATACGTATATACAGACACACAGGCTCTGCGTATCTGGGAGCTGCAGTTCCGAACACGCGATTAGGCTAGGCATTCTTTTTCCCCTGTGTTGTTTCCTTGTCCCCAAAAAATGCTGTTTGGCTGGGAGGAGGGGTGAAAATTGTGCCAGTTGACACTGCTGGGTGGTTTATGGGCATACGCTCTGCTGGCTTGTGTGGAGCATCTGCGGCTGTCAGGCTCTGGAGGAGGAATGAGGTTCCCATGTTCTTACGGGTGACAGGGGACGTGGTTTTTCACTGGACCCAACTGTAGATGATCTGTTTTGGTAAAAGCTCCACCTTGGTTTGTGAGGGCTGAGGCTGTCAGATGTTTAAAGATTTCCCATTCCAGCTCCTCTTCTTCACCTTCTTCCAGTCTCCTGTCTGGAAAGACAGCTATGCCTTTCTCTGGGCCCTTGAGAGAGGCAGGGAATCTGATCTGGGGACAGCCTTGAATTTCAGTGTTTCCAAGCATTTTCTCAGCAAATATTTGAGCTAGTGTTTCATTCCTGAACAGCTTTGTCCTCCTGGTGAAGTCACAGAGCATGAAGTCACACAGTCATGGTCCCTTCCCTATGTAGGACGTGGTCTCAGATGTCTCTGGCTCATGTGGGATTCACGGTTAGGGGTAGCTGCCTCCTTGGTACCCAGCCTGGTACCTTACTTCAGAGCTTCAGCAACGATGTCTCTTTGGCTTTGTCTGGATGTCTCTGTCTGGTGTGCCTGGATTTTTTTTGTGTGAGTGGTCACATACAGGGAATTGGCATTACACAGGGAGTTGCATCGCATGTGTTATGTATTTAAAGCGTTCTGGAATGTGGAATATGACCTGATGGTCCTTATTCATGTGAGCAGTCTCCTTTGCTCCAAAGGAACTTCCTTTCCAAGCATTTGCTAGGGAGAGCACAGGTGAAAACTATGGAAGGCTTTGCGATAGCATCTTGCATGCAAACATCGTTCTCTGATATGTTTATAGCGTTGAGGTTTTCTTCAGACCCTGTGGAGGGAAAGGCAGGCATGATGGTGGTCTACAGCCAAGTGCAACCCATTTAATCTGAGCAGGTTTTACATGGTGATCTCTATTGACTTAGTTAAAACTCTGAGCTGTGGGTTAGTAGAGAGTATTTGCAAGGTCAGAGGAACTCTGAGTGAATGCCAGGAGACGTGCTAAGAGGGCTCAGGGCTATGAGCTAGTTAATTTCTCATCTGGAGAAATCTCACAGGCAGGCTGGGTAACTGCCCAGCGTCGCGTCCCTGTTGGACCCAAGTGAGTCCTGGTGCAAGGCGATTGCCTTTGCTTTATCGCTTCACCTGCGGAAGCCGTCGCCACAGAGGAAGAAGGACTTTTCTTGCCATGCCCGTGGGAAGGGTATGCCTATTTAAAATCCTGCCAGGCTTAATTTAAGTCTTTTCAGGCATCTTAGGGATTAAGAGGACTTTTCTGATATATTACCTCTTCTCCTGATTTTTGTATCACGGAGACAGTTTCTAGTTGTGAAGGGCACCTCTGTGAGTGAGAAAGGCAAGTTTGTCTCTTCTGGGTTTGGCACTGGCGGGTGAGAAGAGGCAGGAGCCTGGCTGCCCTCGCCGGTGCCGTGCCGCGCTGGACTTGCTGCTGAGGCACTGACTCTGCATCCCGCTGCCGCCAAGAATGCTTTTCAAGAACAGTCAAAACAGGTTTTCTTTGCCTCTGATCCTGAGAGGTTTTTAGGCTCATGGCTTGAAGGCGCTGATGGGGCTTTCACACTGCCACAAATCAGTAGCAGGAAGGATTTACAGAGCATCTTTGCTAGCTGGAGTGAGTAATACTTCAGATACCAGTGCAGCTGGGACAGGATATGTTTGATCCCAGGGTTTCTACTGAAATCAGAGGAGGGACAGAGGCTGCCATAAATAGCTGTAGGGTCCGGGCAGAAAATCAT